TCTTTAACATGTGGATCTAAAATCTTGCGACGTTTGATATTGCAACATTCTGAGGAAGTTTCATTTGGGAAAAGTCGATACTTACCGCGAGTACAATCCAGACCTTTATAACCAGGTAAACAATCTCCATTACATGATCCATTAATATGATTACACTCAGTATTTTGTCTACTGCACTTTCTGTTATTACATGATTGTATACACCGATCACCATAGAACCCAGACTGACATTCTGAAAATAAAATTCATCAGCAGTTATACCAATTTTATATCATATATTTAGTAAATCATCTATGCACGAATTCAATAACCTTGATATCCTAGCCCATGCAACTATTCACATTGTAACAGTCAATTACATCCTGGGTTATTTCATATTTTATATCTTACTGTGGTTTTACTGTCTGTATACACCCACCTTTCATCCATTTCACAATACGATTTAATTTATGATATACCCGTCTTTCACTACATAGTCAATAGGTCTATGTCATGAGTAAATACGGTCTTAAAGATACATTATGTAAGATTTCGATAAAGAGCTGAGCATTCTTGCTATAATAGCGCAAAAACAGATAATGTAAAATAAAAATTTCATTCAAATTACTTCATTCTGAGCTAAATGATCACTATTTGTAGTTTTGACAAGATGTGTGCATAGTTGTAACCAGGCCACTGGTATATTCAAGACTTAGTCTCGCTTTCCCATTTTTAAATTAAAATTTTAAATGGCGAACCGTTTTAATCTAGTTAAAATCTCGAGTACCTGATGCCATCGAGAGTTGATCATGATCTTGTTTTGTTAATAAATGTCTAATTAATAGTTCATATAACATTACAGGCCTAAAAATACCTGCAATAAGCAGATTTAGCTCTGATATACCTGTCTTTCAGCAAACAGTCAATACGGTCTAAATCATGATAATATACCCGTCTTTCAGTATATAGTCAATATGGTCTAAATCGTGATATACCCGTCTTTCGCCAAGCAGTCAATACGGTCTAAATCATGATTCGCCTGTCTTTCACCAAACGGATAATACGGACTAAAAATGATTCATGTAGAGTCATCTTTCACCACATTGATCAGTTATTTATATTTTATGCAATCACTCCCGTTTTTACCACACTGACAAGTCAGATGATATTTATTTATATTTTATAATTTTACCTTGAGTACAATCACCGCCTTGATATCCTGCATTACATTCTTCATTGTTACATTTACCATCAACATGGATACATTCAGAAGGCTGTCGACAGTGACGTGCATAACAATCTTTAGAACAATCTTTACCATACTTGTGTATACCATATGAAGCCTGACTATTGAATCCTCCATCATTACATTCTGTAGATTTATAATTTAATATATTAACACGAATTTTTAATATCCAACTTATTTAATATTACATTCAATGTGACTAACCGTCTAAAATCAAAATTTTCTTCGACGAAATATAAGAAATGTGATCTATAGGATATTTTTTTTCAACCTTTACCATAGTTAATATAACAAAACTAAAAATGATTGGGAAGTTTAGATTTGTCTTTGATTCCATAAAGTAGTTAGGTTTTTAAACGTTAAATAGTGTGTAATTAAACATAGTGCCCGAATGGGTTTAATATATTTATATGAGAGTGAAGGTTCGGACTATACCTTGGAAATTAGAAGTGGGGGCAACTAGTATGTGTCTCTCTTTTGTGGACCGAAGTTAGATTGTCCATTGTATTAACTGGACGGGTAGGTCTGTTATCCTTCGGTTATGTGTCTTTGTTAAATGAGTGGCTTCTTTTCAAAAAGATCTGCTCTGGACCGATTTGATTCTACGGTATCTCTAATAGCTGAGAGAATAAAGATTTTTTAGCCGAGAGAATATCTTCCGTCAAAGTGGCGGTTGATTCCGAGGCAAAAAGAGGAATCACAACAAAATTAGCCATAACGAGAGTGAGATAATATAAGAGATTTGAGTGGCTATGGAGACCTAGTTATCCCGGGTGTCATAATTAACATACTAAAAAATATTAATATATTAACATCCATGTTTAATATTCCATTTTATTTGACATATATTCTAAAATATTCTAACTACTGTATATAATAATTATTGACAATACCTGTTGACAATGCAATATTGTTAGCTTTTAAGACATATATCCAACAGGACAATATCGATAGTCATTTATCTTTGACTTTATATGTCTTTAACATGTGGATCTAAAATCTTGCGACGTTTGGTATTGCAATATTCTGAGGAAGTTTCATTTGGGAAAAGTCGATACTTACCGCGAGTACAATCCAGACCTTTATAACCAGGTAAACAATCTCCATTACATGATCCATTAATATGATTACACTCAGTATTTTGTCTACTGCACTTTCTGTTATTACATGATTGTATACACCGATCACCATAGAACCCAGACTGACATTCTGAAAATAAAATTCATCAGCAGTTATACCAATTTTATATCATATATTTAGTAAATCATCTATGCACGAATTCAATAACCTTGATATCCTAGCCCATGCAACTATTCACATTGTAACAGTCAATTACATCCTGGGTTATTTCATATTTTATATCTTACTGTGGTTTTACTGTCTGTATACACCCACCTTTCATCCATTTCACAATACGATTTAATTTATGATATACCCGTCTTTCACTACATAGTCAATAGGTCTATGTCATGAGTAAATACGGTCTTAAAGATACATTATGTAAGATTTCGATAAAGAGCTGAGCATTCTTGCTATAATAGCGCAAAAACAGATAATGTAAAATAAAAATTTCATTCAAATTACTTCATTCTGAGCTAAATGATCACTATTTGTAGTTTTGACAAGATGTGTGCATAGTTGTAACCAGGCCACTGGTATATTCAAGACTTAGTCTCGCTTTCCCATTTTTAAATTAAAATCATGATTCGCCTGTCTTTCACCACATTGATCAGTTATTTATATTTTATGCAATCACTCCCGTTTTTACCACACTGACAAGTCAGATGATATTTGTTTATATTTTATAATTTTACCTTGAGTACAATCACCGCCTTGATATCCTGCATTACATTCTTCATTGTTACATTTACCATCAACATGGTTACATTCAGAAGGCTGTCGACAGTGACGTGAATAACAATCTTTAGAACAATCTTTACCATACTTGTGTATACCATATGAAGCCTGACTATTGAATCCTCCATCATTACATTCTGTAGATTTATAATTTAATATATTAACACGAATTTTTAATATCCAACTTATTTAATATTACATTCAATGTGACTAACCGTCTAAAATCAAAATTGTTTTCACTGCATTTGACTGACAGTCTTAAATTTTCTTAGACGAAATATAAGAAATGAAATCTATAGGATATTTTTTTTCAACCTTTACCATAGTTAATATAACAAAATGAAAATGATTGGGAAGTTTAGATTTGTCTTTGATTCCATAAAGTAGTTAGGTTTTTAAACGTTAAATAGTGTGTAATTAAACTTGGTGCCCGAATGGGTTTAATATATTTATATGAGAGTCAAGGTTCGGACTATTCCTTGGAAATTAGAAGTGGGGGCGACTAGTATGTGTCTCTCTTTTGTGGACCGAAGTTAGATTGTCCATTGTATTAACTGGACGGGTAGGTCTGTTATCCTTCAGTTATGTGTCTTTGTTAAATGAGTGGCTTCTTTTCAAAAAGATCTGCTCTGGACCGATTTGATTCTACGGTATCTCTAATAGCTGAGAGAATAAAGATTTTTTAGCCGAGAGAATATCTTCCGTCAAAGTGGTGGTTGATTCCGAGGCAAAAAGAGGAATCACAACAAAATTAGCCATAACGAGAGTGAGATAATATAAGAGATTTGAGTGGCTATGGAGACCTAGATATTCCGGGTGTCATAATTAACATACTAAAAAACCCTCATTGTCAATTACATACTGAACATATTCATATTATAGCCAATGATCAAGGAATCGTTATTTTTCAATTGGATAAACAAACGGTTGACATCCACGAGACGCCCAGAGATGGGAAAATCAATAGGACTAATCAGTGATTTACATCGAATATTAGTGAGTTTTAATGCGCACCACGATCGAATATATTCAAGATATTTTGATCCTTGACATATTGTTTTATGTTTCCTCGGAATCGGACAGAGATTGTAGCACCTTGAGTATCTACAAACATCATACATATTTCACATTTTGCTTAAAAGGCAGGGGCTATGACTCTAGAATAGAAGGTCTGATGTCTGTCAAAATCGAACACGAACAAGATCGTCCACTCAACTTTGTACATATTTTTTTTACATTTCTAGTAAAATGCAGGGGGCATATCTCCAGCATGGAAGGTCCGATCCGCACCATAACTGAACTCCTCAAAGAATCTTTGTTACCTAAAATATATTCTAAGTTTCATCTAAATCCGACAACAATAATTGTCGTACAATCAGATGCCATAATCCAGGAAGTTATGTACCAAAATCGAAAGGAATCGAGATCTTTGAGATATAAATCGATATTTCAAGTTTCGTCAAAAGCTTAGATAAAACGTCTAATTCAGTCAATAGAGAGGGGAGATTTCAACAGGGGATTCTCGCTGGCAGATGATAGACCAAATATAGTCTTTTTTCACTGTACTTTCACTGTTACTTGAACATGTATAACGAACTGAGATGAACTGTAGGATTTTCTATTGACCTGTACCAGTCATAGTTGTTCCGACTTGCTTTCACATATTTTCCGCCTGTATATTTGAACTCGACAGAATCACATGGAATAATCTTAAAACTTAAGTATTTATCTGTCTTTGCTGGTTAAGTGTTTCCACGTGGCTGTTGAGGAAGATTGAACAGCCCCAGAACGTAAAATCGCTTACATATCTCATGAAACATTTGCACTATAGGGATGAGATACTTTTTCGCTATGTATATTACCTTGAGTACAATCATCACCTTGATACCCTGCACTACATCCTTGATCACATTTACCCTCAACATGGTGACATGATGAAGACTGTTGACAGTGACGTGACTTACAATCTTTAGAACAATCTTTACCATACATGTATATACCATATGAAGCCTGACTATTGAATCCTCCATCATTACATTCTGTAGATTTATAAATTAATATATTAACATCCATGTTTAATATTCCATTTTATTTGACAGATATTCTACTTACTATTTTATATAATAATTATTGACAATGCCTGTTTTAAATAATGGCAATGAAAAGCAAGGTAGATTTTAAAATATATTTTTTCAACAAGACAGTTAATTATCTTGGATTTCATATTATCTTTAATGTGGCCTTAAAAATACTGCGACGTTTGATATTGCAAGATTCAAAACACAAAGGCCATTTTTGAAATGTTGATACTTGCCACGACCACAATCCAAACCTTAATAACTAGGTTAACAATGTCCATTACATGACCCAGTTATATGATTTTGTATACTGCACTTTCTATTATTATTCCGAGCAAATTTCATTTGGGAATAGTTGCAGATACTTACTGCGACTGCAATCCAGACCTTTATAACCAGGTAAACAATCTCCATTACATGATCCATTAATATTATTACACTCAGTATTTTGTCTACTGCACTTTCTGTTATCACATGATTGTATACACTGATTACCATAGAACCCAGGCTGACATTCTGAAATGATGACCTTTTTATATAATATATGTAGTAAATCATTTAACAGTGAACACAATCATTATCCTGATATCCCACCTCATTCACCCCGTCGCATTTAGCAGTCAATCACATACTGGGTTATTTCATATTGTGATTCCACTGTCTGATACAATCGCATTTCAGCCACAACACAGTACGATCAAAAACATGATACACTCGCCTTTCACGATACATGTACAACCGCCTTTCACCACATTGATCAGTTATTTATATTTTATGCAATCACTCCCATCTTTTACAACACTGACAAGTCAGTTGATAACTGTTTATATTTTATAATGTTATCATGAGTACAATCACCACCTTGATATCCTGCATTACATTCTTCAATATTACATTTACCATCTACATGAAGACGGCAATCGACAGAACAGCCATTTCCATACATGTATTTCGTCAAAATCGGATAACAAATGTGACCTGTAGAGGGATCACAAACAAATGTGAACGAACGGGCATTGGGACCTACGTAATAATTATACGTCCACATAAAAATGTGGGTGTATAATAATATCAGTTCTGACCGTATCAATGTTCATCAAGCGTAGCCGTACTTTCTTCGTTATTATATTCTGCAGAAATCTAGCTTTTATGTTAACGCAAATAAATGAACAGAAATTATCAATTTCAGCAGGTTCGATGGTCAATTTTATCAGAAATGAAATGAAATTATCAATCTTATACAAAACGTACAGAACGTATCAGTTGTAAAGATATGAAAAGAATATATCAATTTTAAAGAGATGAAAAGTATTATTGGCAGGGATGACTTGCAATATGTTGGATTACAACTTACTTTGTGTACAATAGTCACCCATCCACCCTGGATGACACCCTGCTTTACATTCTCCATTATTTATGTGACATGCTGATGGTGCCCGACAATTTCTATCTGTACATTCTACAATAAAACATTTCAGGTGCTATTTCAAATCTTAAGCCTGTTTATTACTGTGCCCTTATCATTTATGTGATTTTTTCTAAATTTAAGTTTTCTCCTTTTTCTACTTTTTTGGTGCTAAATCATGTCATATTTTTTTTTATCAAACATAATTCGTATTAAAAACATTCCTTTTGATGCGATATCTGGCAAACAAACGGATTTAAGCAGCATTTTAAAATTTTGAAATATGTGTTATCGTTGAATGAAATATATTTCGATGGAACTGGGTTGCTAATTTGTAAAAAAAAACCAAAAAATTCAAGTATTCCCAAGTAGTCTAATACACATAGTGCAAGTCGTTATTGACATGGATGGGGGAATATACTGATGGCTTGCAGTCTGTCTCTTCTTGTGATAGACAGTGTATTTAGACCAGCTATTTAACAATATTCACTTTCCGTTTTTTCGTCAATTTGAACTATAAATCTTACTTATATTACAACTGGTTCCAGTAAATCCATCAGCACATCTGTAAGGGCATTGACCTGTGACTGGATCACATCTATCACCAGATGATTGACAGTAACACAATGATGTACAATCTGGTCCAAAGGTACCAACCGAACAAACTGTATATAATTATCAAATCAAGTGGTAAATATTTCTAAGGAATTTAACAGCCACGACAGAATGTTTTTGGCTTAAAATCATTGAATAATGAGCGAAATGTTCGATTATATTTCATTCCTTATAGAGTTTGTGCATTTCATGAAAGTATGTATGTCCCACAAATAAAGTTCAAATAAAGTAGTAGAAATTTCTAAGGAATTTAACAGTCTCGGGGGTGAATGTTGTGCACTATAACATATGCATGGCCGTATAAAAAGTTAATATTGCTGACCCATTAACTGCATTACGGATAGAAGCGTAGAAGCGACTGGGAAAATATTTACTGTGGATCAGTTTGGTGAATACAGTGCGGCTCCACTTGGTCAGAAATTCTATCTTAGTCGGGTTGACTCCAATAGACATAATTACTTTATATACAGAGCTATACTTAAAGCTATAAAGGGGTGAAATTTGCGTTGGTTTCTCTAATAACTCTACTTCTTCGAACAGGTTTGTCCGGAAATGTATGCCCTTCGCTAACTTAGCCCAAAGTCACTAGAGCACTTTATTTTAAGTTTCTCTTACCATAAACTTCAACTTCACAGAGATTCACATAAACGGAATTTGTAGGTTCGTTAGTCTTGTCATTAGTAATAGTTATATATTTTCCTGTAGTGTTACAGTTTACCACAAATCCATTAGGCTTATTCTTTGAATCATAATTATCTTCTGGTCTACACGGACTTTGATTTGTTTGGTTACGTTCATCTACGAATAATCTGAATCCCTTAAATCTATTAGTGATATCTATATAAAATAAATAAACAAGAATAATTTACAAAAATAAAAATGAGGATGTCTGTGTTTGTTTTTGGGCGGGCGACGTGTGGCGGGTAGTCATATATATAATGATTGTTTTTACGCATATACAAAAACAATACGCCCTTGTGTCCATCAGCGACTAAACAAGCTTGTATAATAATACTCTAAATTGATCTATATTTCGAAATAATAAATATGATGTCAAATTCGATAACACAGATCTTCTTGTTTGCAGATTTATCGAAGTTTACATCAAAAATATTCTATTTGATTTGTATGAAATTCGTAACAAGCAAAGGTCAAATCAAAATATACATCTCCTTCTCGTTGGGCACCTTTATATGATGTAAGCTTTCAATACTGTTAATTTCATAAAATTCAGCCAATATATACTTCCCGTTTTGTTGAAAACAAAATGGCCGTAAAATCAATCGTCCTAATACTTATATATTGATGGTAAACAACCGAAATAGTACGGCGGTATATGTAAGAACATTAGAAACGTCCAAAAGAAAAACTGATAATAAAAACACTTAGTGCTTCTGTTTATAAAATATTACAGTGTACAGAAGTGGTATAGCAACCATATTAGAAAACACAATGCTATAATCCAAATTGCAAAATAAATTGATTTTTTATATTTCATATTACGGCAACATGCCACTGACATGGACTGATAACTACTAATTGTTTAAGGAAAAAAACATATATCAGCAAATATGTTTGTGAGTATACCACGGACGTGATAGTCTAATCGCGGTAAGCTGGATCCGTCCCTTAAAATATCTAATATTACAAAACACAATATAAATAATGTTATGTAATATAAACTATATGATATAAAATCATGTGGGTGACTTTAAATTTTACTTACGTAGATCCCTTGCATATATTTTTATATTAGCAACAGGATAACTTTGTCCTAAATCTACTCCCCATGAAGCATTTGTCCTCCCATCAGCCGTATGGGTACAAGTATTATATGCCTTGCTATGATTAGTATCACCATCTACTGCATAATGAGAATATCTTCGTCCATTCCCGTCCGAATAGGTTGAGCTCTGCCACGTATTTTTGTTAAATGCAACATTTTCTGAAAATTGAATTGGAATAAGTTTGTAGATGGCAAATTACCTGGCAAATCGAATTATTTCACACAAATCAAAATAATGAATCTAGTCTTTAGGAGTGCTGCCTCGGCTAGCGATATGTCACATATATTTATTATTTCATTTCTTAATGGCATACAAGGATGGCAAATTTATAACACGAAAATATATTCTCAACATATCAGACTTTTATTTTCTTAATCTCATATTTAAAGGGACAATAACACTCTTGCTGGCTTGAAAGCTCCAGAAAATAAATAATATCTCTATCTAAGTACTAGATGTTTAAGTGTCTTACCTGTTGTGTATATTATCCATTACATCCTATTTCGCTTGTCCAGAGGGTTCGAAAATATTTTTAAATCGAAGTTTCATTTGAAAAGGTTTACGTTAGACGTTTCAAACCATTATGTTGAACTTTTCTTAATTTTTAAATAGGGTGTGTTAAGATGAAATTTGTATCATCAATTAATTGAAATATTCTAAAATAGTACAATTTGTTGACCAGAATAAAGATTGAGACATATTATTCAGTTACAACAAGAGTGGTATTGAGCCTTTAAATGAGTTTTATAATATTTTGATGATATATAGTCCATTCTTCATTTGGTCACCCTTCGCATCGATACATACAAAAGTGCAATCTGGCGCCGAACACAACTAAACCGAAGAAGCTCGAAATAGAACAAAGCAATGGGATTATACGATTTTAATTTTCCCATCGTAAACTTTCCACTCCTGAGCAGTAACATATCTAAATAGCTAGACTATGTGCCTAAATGTCTCACCCAGACATTATGCTTAGGTTTGCATATACTGTGTAGATAGATTCTTTTCAGAGACAAAGTGATCTAACTTATAACAGTTTTACTAAGTTATATCTCAACCCGAATATTAATAACCTTAGGGGATCGATAGTACTATGTTACATCTAACCGAAAATATTGCTAACCCTTTAGTATCCATGGTACTATCCAGAATATCGATGTTGTCCTTAATATTATTTACCCTTTGGACTAACTCGCAGTATTGACAACCCTTTGGTACAATGGTATATCTAATCAAGAATGTCAATAACCGTTTGATATCGATGGTACTATTTTATCAAAATATCAGTAACCGTTTAGTATCGATCGCTCTAGATATTGTCTTTCATGTTGACAACTCTTTGGTCTATTATTACCCCTTTACGATGGTGGCTCTACATGTATATGGTCCAGAATATTGATAACCTTTTAGAATCGATGGTACTGTGGTATATCTAACCCAGACGAAATTATTTTTAGGATTGCTTGTACATGTATTACATTACCCACTGTTTCCAGTGTCTTTATAGTTAGTTGAAAGTAAATTGTTTTTTCAACATATTATTTTTTTGTCAATCTAGACTGAAAACGGGTTCAAATAGCAACCATACCCGATATACTCGTTCATCGTACATTAACAGGATATCCAGCTGGAAAGAAACACAGATTACGGTAGCTTCCTACCTTTAGCGTTAGATAATTCCTACCTTTTTGACATGACGAACCATACCATCCTTTCTCACATTTACGACTAGAACAGACACCTGTATTAGTATCACAATATCCTTCATCACAATGACATATATATCTATCATTATATCCAAATCTTGGTTGTTCTGATTAAAAAAATGAACAGATGACTAATTATTTAATATATTTCAATACATACATAAACTCTTAATGATAACTGTTATAATATTTCATTTCGACGGCACCTCGTCGATTAATATCGTAAAAGAAAATAAAGACCGAAATGCTGTTAGATACACAAGGTCTTTTTCCATGTCCACCTTAGTCATAGCTCAATACACGGAACTTATGGATTAGATAGCAATGTCTATAACAGACGTTTATCAACGTACGTTATTACTAAATTTACGTTACACGATTTTATTCGAAAATAAAGAAGTATTCATTTCCATTTAAATCAAGTCTTGAAATCGTATACATTTCTCTATACAAGCTCCACGCGGATCTAGCATTAATTGATTCCTCGATCAGTTGAACTGCTCGAGCTCATCCGTCGGTTCAGTGGCCGAGAGAAATAATTTTAAAAGCCTACATCTAATATTTCAACTTTCTTTTTTATCCGAAACACGTATTTCAGCCCCGGAAATTTGTGAAATCTTTTTGAAAAAATAAAAATAATTCATGTTTTTTTCTTCACAAAAATGGATAAATATTATCGAATAAATAACAAATAACGCTGGTTAAAACAGACACGGTTACATAATTTATATCGGAGATTTGAGACAAAGTATGAATAGCGAAATTCCGAGACCGCCATGATTTTATTAAGAGGTCACCCCCGTTAAGCGGTCAGTCACGAAAATGTTCTTGAGGGGCTGCTTAACTCTTTCACTGCCAAGGTTGTACGTGTATACTGTAATCATAAACTGATGTATATATTGATAACAACGAAAGCTTCCAGCCTATCACTTCTTGTGATAGACAATGTATTTAGATCAGGGGCCTGTTTCACGAAATTTTAACTAAGATAAAATCCCAATTTTAGTAATTTGATTGGATAATATTAGATTGATTTTAGTGCTTAGCCCATCAAAATTGAAGTATCTACTAAATATGGATTTTATCTTTAAAAAAGAAATTCGTGAAACAGGGCCCAGCTCTTTAAATTTCGTGAAACAGGGCCCACCTCTTTAAAACAATATTCACTTTCCGTTTTTTCGGCAGTTAGAACTACAAATTGAACTATAAATCTTACTTATATTACAACTGGTTCCAGTAAATTCAACAGCACATCCGTAAGGACATTGACCTGTGACTGGGTGACATCTATCACCAGGTGATTGACAGTAACACAATGATGCACAATCTGGTCCAAAGGTACCAACTGAACAAACTGTATAAATAATATAAAATTCAAATCAAGTGGTAAATATTTCTATTTATTTCATTCCTTATAGAGTTTGTGTATTTCATGAAAGTATGTGTGTCCATTTCATGAAAGTATGTGTGTCCCACACATAAAGTTCAAATAAAGTGGTAGAAATTTCTAAGGAATTTAACAGTCTCGGGGGTGAATGTTGTGCACTATTATAATAACATATGCATGGCCGTATAAAAAGTTAAAATTGCTGACCCATTAACTTCATTCCAGATAGTAGCGGAGGGAAAACATTTACTGTGGATCAGTTTGGTGAATACAGTGCGGCTCCACTTGATCGGAAATTTTATTTTAATCGGGTTGACTCCAATAGACATAATTACTTTATATACAGAGCTATACTTAAAGCTATAAAGGGACAAAGATTGGTTTAGTTTCTCTAATAACCCTACTTTTTCAAACAGGTTTGACCGGAAATGTATGCCCTTCGCAAACTTGGCCCAAAGTCCTACCTATGCCACATCTGACGCTAATGTACTCTATTTTATGATTCTCTTACCATAAACATTTCTTTTGATGTGTTATAAAGAAAATGAAGCTAAGTTGCGGTTCTGTTTTCTACTGCACACGTTCAAAATGTCGAGGAATTGTAAAAAAAAAAAACACAAAAAAAAAACCCAACAAGAAGTAAGATCTGGCAAATAAACGAAATTGAGCAGCGTTTTAATATTTTGAAACATGTGTTTTCATTGATAAAATATATTTCGAATGGAACTGGGTTGCTAATTTGTATAAAACCCCCTGAACAATTCAAGTATTCTCAAGTAGTCTAATACATATACATGTACATGTATACATAGTGCGAGTCGTTATCGACATGGAGACGACTTTGTTGCTGATGGGGGAATATACTGATGGCTTGCAGCCTTTCTCTTCTTGTGATAGACAATGTATTTAGACCAGCTCTTTAACAATATTCACTTTCCGTTCTTTCGTCAAATTGAACTATAAATCTTACTTATATTACAACTTTTTCCAGTAAATCAATCAGCACATCCATTAGGACATGGACCTGTGACTGGATCACTTGTGTTAAATTCAACACAAATGTTATCTTAAAATTCGGCGTAATAAATAATATAGAAAGAAAACACACAAGATTTTATAAATGCACACAAGGTTTCTGTTAAGACACTAAAAAGAACACAAACTTGTGTTGACTTCATTTAACACAAGTCCTTGTGTTGAGATCCAACACAAGAGTTTTTTCAGTGCAGTAATACAAACCGTTCCGGGCAGAATTATCATCACATTTTACGCCTTAATATAATTTTATGGATCTATTTACCCAACTTCGAACTCTATTATTTATCTTTTAATAATTTTAAAATGTTTTTTAGAATCCGAATGACATAATAACAAGTTACTATTTACGCCCCATTAACTTCATCCCTGATAGTAGTGGCTGGGGTTTGTTCCGGATCTTATTTCCACGAACAGGTTTGTCCGGAATATATTCCCTTCGCAACCTCGGCCTAAAGTCCCACCTCTGCCACTGTTGACGTTAGTATACTTTATTTAAATTTCTCTTACCATAAACTTCAACTTCACAGAGATTCACAAAAACGCTTGTTTGTAGTGTATACTTGTCATTGGTAATAGTTATATATCTTCCTGCACTGTTACAGTATACCATAAATCCATTAGGCTTATTCCTTGAATCATAATTATCTTCTGGTCTACACGGATGTTGATTTGTTTGCTTATGTTCATCTACGAATAATTTGAATCCTTTAAATCTATAACCGATGTCTATATAAAATAAATAAACAAGAATAATTTACAAAAATAAAAATGAGGATGTCTGTGTTTATTTTTGGGCGGACGACGTGTGGCGGGTAGTCATATGATTATTTAAAATAAATAAATCAGAATCATAAGACTGCACAGACAAGCGAGGGTTGGACACCGACACAAATACACCTTTATTGACAGAAAAACTGCTTTCGGCAATATGTGTGTATGGATGTCTGAGTGTGTTTGTTTTGTCATGATGTGTGATGGGTAGTCAAATGGTGATAGTTTTTAAATATACTAAGTTAATTGGCCCTCGTTTCCATCGGAGACTAAATAAGCCTGTAAGATAAAACTCTAAATTGAGCTACATTTCGAAATAATAAATATTATTAAAACACCATTTTTGTGTTTTGTCAAATTCAATAACACAGACCTTCTGGTTTGCAGATTTTCCAAGTTTGCTTGAGAAATATTTTTTGTTAGATTGTGTTTGGAATTCTAAACAAGCTAAGGCCTAACAAGAATAACACTCCTTTTTGTAGACACCTCCTTATTACGTAAGCTCGCATCTCTGTTAATTAATTCTGTCCTTGTTGTTGAAAACAAAATGTCCGTAAAATCAATCGCGCTAATTCTTAGATATTGATGGTAAAACTATGTACAGCGATATACATAAGAACTTAAACCAGAATCTTTCAATAGAAAAACTGATAATAAAATCACCCTGTGCTCAATTTAAGTTATGTACAGTGTTTAGACGTGGTATATAAACCACATTGTAAAACACAATACTATAATCCAAATTGCAAAAGAAATCGATTTCTATATTTCGTATTACTACATGTACTAATAACTACTGAATGATTAGGGGAAAAACACATCTCAGCAAACGTGATTATCGCGGACGTGATAACCTAGTAGCTGGATCCACAACTTATAATATATAATATTACAAAACACTATATAATCGATAACGTTCAATCTTCAAATATTGTATAATTTGTTTATTGGTATTATAAGGGTAAAGCTGAAGAGTAAAGTCACCATATAAATATGTGTATTAATATTAATAGTCTGTATTCAAAAATTATATACAGGTATATTTGTGTTTTAACAATGATAAATTTAAATTCTACTTACGATCATCCTTTGCATATATCTTTATGTTATTAACAGGATAACTTTGTCCTAAATCTACTCCCCATGAAGCAGCTGTTTTGCCACCAACCGTATGAGTACATTTATTATATTCCTTGCCATGACGAGTATCACCATCTACTGCATAACGAGAATATCTTTCTCCATTCAAGTCCCAATAGGTTGAGCTTTGCCACGTATTTTTGTTTAAGGCAACATTTTCTGAAGATTGAATATGAACCAGTTTTTAGTGGGCGAATTACACAAATTCGCTTCTAGTCTTTAAGGATGCTGTTACATTATTTTTAATGACATGCATAGATGCCAAATTTATAGCTACAAAATATTTGTTCAAAATTTTAAACATATGTTCAAAATTTTAAACATTTGTTCAAAATTTTAAACATTTGTTCAAAATTTTAAACATTTGTTGTTCAAAATTTTAAACATTTGTTCAAGATTTTAAACATTTGTTCAAAATATCGGACATGTGTTTAAAGTATCAGACATTTGTTTAAAATATCAGACATTTATTGTCTTAATCTAATATTTGAATCAGTTATATTAGTTATTTATTTTGGTGATATATAGTCCAGCCTCCATTCTTCATTTTATATAATATGTTTCACAAACCCAACTCTTACATTTTCAATAAAGAAACACAGATTCCGATGTTTAGTGGACACAAGCATAAGCGACAATCGTGGCAAATGTATCAAAATATCAAGCTAAGTGGAAAAAGAAAATATTCAAGCATTCTTACAAAGTGCACCCAATCAAAGTGTCATGAATTAAATGTGAATATCAAAGAAGTCGAAAGATTTACTGGAACCCTAGGGGTTCAGCCACTCTCGTTTATTTCATCTATAAAGATGCTTAGTTTCTCACTGCTTTAATTTTTATTCCACATAATAAATTAAAACGCAAATCCAAATATTTGACCACCCTACTCATTGGTACATACAGAAAAGTAATCTGGCGCTGAATACAAATAAACCGATAAACCGAAGAAGATTTATTAAAAATGCTAGGATTAGCAACTGGAAATAGACCAAGACCATAAACTTAGTGTTCGATTATACGATTTTAATTTTCCCATAACCTTCCATTCATGTACAGTAACATACCTAAATCGCCAGGATATATGCCTAAATTTTCTCACCCAGACGTTTTGCTTGGGTTTGCATATTGTAACGTTCATAGAATTGGCACCTTCCAATGTGAAATCCAAACAATTTTACATTGATGTAGCATTTTGTGTTTATGAACTTCTGAAGTTTGATTGTCCTTTAGGATAAATAGTACTATGTAATATCTAACCACAAATATAGTTAACCCTTTAGTATCGATGGTACTGTGTTATCTAGAATATTGATAACCCTTTAGTATCGATGGTACGTATACCGTGTCATATAGAATATAGTCAAACCTTTAGTATCGATGGTACTGTGTTATCTAGAATATTGATAACCCTTTAGTATCGATGGTACGTATACTGTGTCATATAGAATATAATTAACCCTTTAGTATCGATGGCACTGTGTTATCTAGAATATTGATAACCCTTTAGTATCGACGTATACTGTGTCATATAGAATATAGTTAACCCTTTAGTATCGATGGTACTGTGTTATCAAGAATATTGATAACCCTATTGATGGTATTATGTTATCCAGAATATTGATAACCCTTTAGCATAATATCGATGGCTCTACCTGTTGTCCTTGATAATACTAACCCTTTGGCCCCACCCCCCACAATATTGATGGTACTATGGTATATCTGACCAAGAATATTGATAGCCGTTTAGTATCGATTATAATGATAACCATTTGGTCTAACCCAGAATATAGATAACTCTTTAGTATCGATGAATCTATACATGTCCAGAATATTGTTAAGCCTTTAGTATCGATTATAATGATAACCCTTTGGTCTAACCCAGAATATTGATAACTCTTTAGTATCGATGAATCTATATGTCCAGAATATTGTTAAGCCTTTAGTATCGATGGTTCGACCTCGACATGTTTATATCTAAATCAGTCTAAATTATTCTCCGGGTTAACCCACTATTCCAGATTCTTTATAGTTAGTTGATAGTAAATATTTCACACAACATATCATTTTTATAAATCAAGACTAAAACTGGGTTCATAGCAACCAGAAATGAAATGAAATGAAATGGGGTTTAACGTCCTACTGTTTTGCTCCGAACTGGGCTAATGAAGACGGGCATACGCCATACAGTGTGCTATGAGGGAAATTTTGCCCGGACAGCGGCACTACGGCCTACTCTTATATCGAATTCCAACTGCCAAGGGATCTTTTACGTGCACGCCAATGTGTATACGGGACCTCGGTTTTTCGTCTCATCCGAATGACTAGACAGCTGTCCTTGTCAGGCCCTCCGTCCTGCATCACTGACAAGGGGGAAGCACGCCGGAAAACATAGCAACCAGACCCGGTATACTCGTTCAATGTGCATTAACAGGATACCCAGCTGGAAAAAAAACCCACAGATTATGTTTCATTAAAAGCTTCATACCTTTAGCGTTAGATATTTCCTACCTTTTTGACATGACCAACCATGCCATCCTTTCTGACATCTACCACTAGAACAGTAACCTGTATTAGTATACCAATATCCTCCATCACAATGACTTACATATCTATCATTATATCCAAATCCTGGCTGTCCTGATACAATAAAACAAACAGATTACTAATTATTTAATATATTTCAATACATACATCCAATTGAAACTTTTTGACAGATACATGGTTTCTAGCGTCATTTTGGCGTTTATCTTGGGAAACTGGGGGTCACTTTGCTAAGATCGACACAGAAACTATGAGATTTATACAACACTATATACCAAATACATGTACATGTACTATGTTTTACATGTGTACGATTTTGACAGAATATTTTAAACAAGCCTAGCAAATAAATGGAAAACAAAAATGTTGACCATCAGACGCCAAAATATCAGAAAGAATTTTTTTCATCACTATTCGTTTATTTTTTTCAATACCCAAATCCAACGGAACTTTTTGTGCACAATTGGAAGTTCACCATCATTGTAGCGTTCTACGGGCCCGGGCTAGACCTTTATTGCCTGTTGGGCCCCTTGGCGCTAAGGCCCGGGCAGGTGGCTTATAGTTTTTAACTCACCATTTAGCCACAAAAAAGTGAACTGACAGAATCCGATTCTAATCCTACCCACGTCCTAGGTACCCACATTAAGACCAATCACCGGGTTTCTTCTAGTTTACGATCAAGTAAAAGTGTATTTTGTTCATTAGATTATACCAACAATTTTCTCAAAAACATTACTCAGCATACCTCCAGGCACCTCCAGTCTCTGGGTCCATGGAAAAGTGTGTGTACACATTGGCGTGCGCGTAAAAGAACTCTTAGCAGTTGGAATAGGATATAAAAGAGTAATCCACAGCGCCGCTGTACGGGCACAATTTCCGCCATAGCACAATGTATGGCGTATACCCATCTTCATTAGCCCAGTCGGAATAGAACCCCATTTTATTTTATTTCATTTAGACTACTCTGTAATTTTGTATCGATTACAGGCTTTGATGGTGCTGTATTTTATATTTTCTGACATTTAGTATACCACTGATATCTATAATATTACTTTATATACCGTAACATAAACTTTATAGTTTAAATAATATCACACTTCTTTGTACTTATGAAATTTGAAAGCTTATTGATATAGATGGCACTACATGTATAATTTATATATTCTTACATTTTATATATTGATAATTAAATAAAGTCTGAAAAAGCTTACCATTTATATACTGAATATATACCACAAAGATGATGGTCATATAAAATAAACACTGTCGTATATCGGCCATGTTCCTGTAGTGTCTACTAGGAAGAAATTTGTGTAACTGCTCCTTTTAAAACCTGAAAGATGTCATATTATATCTTCCTGGTCTGTATATGCATTAACGATGTTAAAGTAGCTAAGTCTCAATATCATCCAAAGTCTTCGACATTGAAAACACGAATTATTTGTCAATTTAAATCAAAGATGGGCTTCTGATATCCTATATTTACGACAAAATAAACATTTTACCATCAGTACACGACTCGTGTACCATAATGTGATTCAGCGCCATTTGTAACAAGGGACTCGAAGAACGCGGCTAGACAAGTTCCACAAGCCATGTCAAATGGTGATGTCATATTCTTATCTGGAGAGCATGCACAATAATTACTATCGGTATACATTGAAATAACCAGGCGCTAGAGATTGCCATTCAATTCAGACTTCTTGCGTATTTTGCCGAACGTAACTGATTTGAAATTAGAGTAAAAACCGAAACGATTGAATGTAAATCAGTTTATATACATTCATATTAAATTATTATGCGTTGCGACCCATTGTGTCAATTTCTAGGTCCCAAATATTAGCGATTTAGCTCCTTTAAGTATATATCAAAAACAAGCTGTAGTGAGGAAAATGAATCACATTTATTATTTGAAAACGTATTCTACTCTTCAATATTACTCTTAAACCTAACCCTTTTTAGACGGCTGAACTTGGATCCAATTTACCCTTTACCCCTCTTAAACGGATTAGGGCTGTGGTTAGTATTCCCAAAAATACTCATTTATATAAAGCAGCTATTGTAAACTCTCGGACCTCCCCCAACCGGCCTACATTTGGGATTCATTGGTGACAATCGAGTGAAAACGGAAAATTTGGGACAGTAACGCATGCGCCGTCTGAAAAAGAAAATACCTTAACCCCAACCATGACCATGGTTTTTTTTCAGCAAATAACAGCGTTTTAATTACTTTATACAATTGTAAACGATAATGAATAGTCTCATTTATCAGGTCGTTTTATTTGAACCTTGTGATAAATGAGGGCTACTCTATTAAAGTAGCATTGAGTCAATGTAAGCCAGAATAATGTGTTATCATTTAATCGCATGTTATCATATTAATAGTTGAATATACAGATTCATTTATAAATTCTAATAGTTCAAGCCTTGGTATGCGCGATATTCTTATATTATGTCTTTCCATAATGTCGTTTAATAGGCAAATATTATATTACTAGCCATGCAAGTACTTTAACAGTTTTTAAATATTGTATTTCTGAAATTTGGGAGATTTATTAAAGCCTTATACAGTCATAATACAGTTTGTAAACAATTGGGCGTGATTTGTTTTTATACAGTAATGATAATATTCTTACTGAAAATATTGATTAAGAATGGTAGCTACTGTTGATTAAAGAATCCTGTAAATATAAACACTGTATAGACTGTAGACTTTTTACCAATATAATGACACTATTCTAATGTTACTGGAACGAAAAGGTTAGTTGTAGTTTTTTTTTACTTAATTTTTACAGCCATGTTATAATGTCTGCATCATGACTAGTAGTTTATATGAAATACAGGATATGACTGATACAAGGATGTATTTCGTTATCAAATCCCATTACATTATATAGCATCATATTAGCTATAGTCAAACGTTTATATAAAAGTTGGGGATCACGGTGGCTAAGTGGGTAAGACGCTGGCTCGCTAGCCTGGAGGTCGGGTGTTCGATCCTTGCATTGGCCGAGAAAGTTCATCCAGATTTTCCGGCGTGGTTCCCCTTTGTAAGTAATGCAGGACGAAGGGCCTGACAAGGACGTCTGTCTAGTCGTTCGGATGGGACAAAAAACCGAGGTCCCGTGTACACATTGGCGTGCACGTAAAAGATCCCTTGACAGTTAGAATTCGATAGAAGAGTAGGCCGTAGTGCCGCTGTCCGGGCAAAATTTCCCTCATAGCACACAGTATGGCGTATGCCCGTCTTCATTAGCCCCGTTCGGAGCAGAACAATAGGACGTTAAACCCCATTTCATTTCATTTATATAAAAGTTGAATATACATGTAATGACAAATAACTGGGCTATCATATATAGACTGATAAATCAAAATGGAAGTAAATTACTCCTAATCAAATAAGAAAATGTGTATCTTTCAAGAAATCCATCATAAAAAAAAAAATGTTCTTTGGTTATGCTGGGGAAAGAAGAGTCGAGAAAGAACCCGAGATGACACAAAAACTGAGGAAAGGCGAGTGTTCTGAGTGTATCTTTCTGGAGTCTTTCTGACCCAGCATAAACCGTTTGGGATACACACGAAATTGAACTTTGATAAACGGAAAAATAACGAAGTTTGCAACTATAGGCCAGTAAGTGAATAAGTTAGCGCCTGTAAAAGATAGCATTTTAAATTCAGTTGTTTGATACGTGGATAATGAAATTTAGTCAGATGTATTATTGCTTAACGTGCATTTTTATTGCAAATTCTCTTGAACTGAAAATAGCATCTTTACAAATCAAACTTTAACTTCTGCAAAAAACACGAGTGATATATAAAGGAAAATTTCATTTTATATTACGATGTTTGGTGAGAACACCCATTCAGTCTAAGAGCTGCACATGTATACTACACGTACGCCAATATAAAAATGTCCTACGAAGATGGCAGTAAGATGCCAGGTCGTCCAGTGTCAGAAAACATGCCGCCGAACTGTCGCAGGAAACCCATTGAAGACATGTCTGTTCAGGAACTTTAAGGACAATATTGGTGCCAGTCATTATCACATATGTGATAGAGCTGGTTAAACACATTCCAAATATAATTTTAACACAGAGATCATTGCTACAATAGCTGAGTAAGCAGAAAATTTGGAAGAAGATTAGAAGAAAAGAGAGTGAGCATCACATATTTCTACATCTAATCAGTGACTGCATAGCACTGCATAGTCTTACATATTCTAATTTGATACCGTAACGCAGTTTCGACCTTTGGGGTAAGAAGTCACTTTAGAAGAGGAATACATATTTGAAGACGTTACCAAGAAAACCTGTACAATCCAGCAACAGAAAAAGTCTGGTGGAAAAAAATCTGGTGGAGATATTCGAAAAATTGGGAAAATACATTTTGTTTGGAAAATTAAATGTGTTAAATTTGTTTAAAGATCAAATAATATTAATTTTAGGTTAAAATCTTTTTAGAAACTAAGTATTTAAAATTTAACTGTATAGAGAATAAATTAGAGTCATTCATAAGTTTAGATTGATAAGTTTATTAAACAAAATAATATCACTGGTTAGGTGTGTATATTGCCAGGTTAACATGACCTGTAGTAAATTTGAGTAAAATTAAAGTTAAAGAGAAAGTTTAGGGAGTAGTTTTTTTTAAAAAAAATTTTTTGATATAACTAAGGAATAATAATAATAAGGAAACGGAATAGGAACTAATGTTGTATCCGGATCGCAGTGAGAACGACGGCAGAGCTAAAGTAATAGAAGGTTTGACTATATCAATTGGCAGCTATTGATAGGGCAAATTCAAAACACCCAGTCTTACGAGGTTTCAGTATGGCATTTGGCTGGGAGGGGCAGATAAAAAGGGCCAAAAAGGACTAAAATTTGCCTCATAAGTAATAGGATCAGAATTATTTCTAAAATGTTGCCATACAATGTATGAATATAAAAAATATAAATCTGACCAGAAAAAGTGGGGCCATGCCCTTTTCTGACTGCCTTAAAAAGTGCTGACGGGGGCCAAAATTTGCCTCATAAGTAATATAGTTGAAATTGGTGCCAAATGTTAGCTATGTACGAGCCGATTTTAAAAATATCAAATCTGACTGGTTTCAGTGGGGCATATCCCTAATCTGACCACTTAAAATCTGCCCGATCTGCCACGCCCACAAAAAAGGTCAAAATTTGCATCATAAGTAATACGATCAGAAATAGTTTTGAAATGTTGTGGTGCTATATCTGAATCTTAAAATGTAAAATCTGACCGGAAAAAATGGGGCCACACCCCTTTCTGACTGCCCTAAAAAGTGTGTCCGGGGGCCCAAAAATGCCTCATAAGTAATAAGATTGAAATTGGTGTCAAATGTTAGCTAATTATGAGACGGTTCTAAAAATATCAAATCTGACTGGTTTCATTGGGGCAAACCCCTAATCTGACCACTTAAATGTGATACATCTGCCACGCCCACAAAAGGGGTCAAATTTTGCCTCATAAGTAATATGACTGAAACTGGTGTCAAATGTTAGCTGTGTATTAGTTGGTTCTAAAAATATAAAATCTGACTGGTATCTGTGGGGCATATCCCTAATCTGACTACTTAAATATCACAACCCACCACACCAGCAAGGTGAATACACATTTTGTTTTCACTTAAAAGTGTGAAAGCTCAAAAAAGAAATGACAAATGAAGTTAATAGCCTAATAAGTTAAACAGTCCAGAAAAAGCCATAGGTTGGAAACATATTGTAATAAATGGGGTGATAAAGGGGGGGGGGGGGCATTTAACTTACTATTACATACATACTAATAGTATGTGAATGCTCAAAAAGAAATGACAAATGAAGTTAATAGCCTAATAATCCTTTATCTTTATTGTTATTGTTATTTTATCTTATTATATGGTTTCACCATGTCCACTCTTATATATTCATCTGAAGTTTATGAAATGTCATTGTGCTTGATAACGATAAGAGGATACTTGTCGAAACGTCGTGCTTTTAGAATAAACCAGTGATTGTTTCCCATAAAAATTGTGTTCTATTAATGTGTTTTCCAATCGCTAAATGCCACTTAAAGATTATATACGATCATAGGTTATCTTTTTCACACTTACAAATATTCACACCGGAAGTAATAACACAATTACCTCTCAATTACCTCCCTTGTTTTCCTATTCCCAACCATGGAATAGCTATCTTCAAACGTTTGAATTTGAAGTTGAAATGATATTTTTGCCAATTTTTCAACTGGCAAGAGTGAATTATAGGATTAATAGGACTATTCTTTAACAAGG